CTGGCCAGGACTCAAAACTAATTGTAAAACATTCCAGATGTCCACACTTTTTCACTCTTTCTCTATACAGGAAACTTCTCCATGGCAGTTTTAGAGGGTATCAAGCAGCTGTCTGATATTTCGAGTAATGAATGAGCAATTGTAGTGCAAGGTAAAAACGTAAGAAATGAGACATTTAAAATACATTTTTTTTCCTGAAAGTATTTTTTAAAATTTTTTTCTTTATTGATTTTAGAGAGAGAGGAAGGGAGAGGGAGAGAGAGATAGAAACATCGATGAGAGAGAACATTGATTGGCTGCCTCCTGCATGCCCCCCCACTGGGGATTAGGCCCACAACCTGGGCATGTGCCCTGACTGGGGATTGAACTGGAGACCTCTTGATGCATGGGTGGATGCTCAACCGCTGACCCACACCGGCTGGGCTCTGAAAGTATGTTAATATCAAAAAAGTGTATATTTGAAATCTTAGAAGTTACCCATCTACATATTAATATATATACTTTGGCTCAATGGCCTTTACATTATTTTTTAATTTAATATAATTAGTTAATTTTATAATTTTTGTAGCAAAATTGAAGTGGAAATAGTGAAAAAAACCTCTGGCTAAGTTAAGTTATTGTCTACCTCATTTGATCAGAGATCTTTTGCCCAGTAGGTACTATACACAGAAGGTACTCAATCAGTGCTTGTTGAGTTAAAGTCATTTCTTTGTTCATAGTTTTAGCTAGTTTCTTACTCTCTCATAGTTAAATGATTCATTTTTGTTCTTTAAAGATCATTTATTAACAGTATAATATAACTATAGTACTCCTTTATACCACACAGAAGATATTCCATATTCGATTTTCACATTTTCTAACAAACTTGTATGCACAGCTAATTAGTATGTCAGATCGTGTGATTTCCTGCTGCAAATACGCCAATGACTGTTGCTCTCACTTTACCTTTAAGCCATAAGGTTGATGGTCTGATATCTTGCACGATCTGCCCCAGTCCACACACCACCAAAGATCCTGTCTTCAAACTTGTCTCCTAATACTCTGGTCTGCCCTCACTCCCATCCCGTCTCCTGCTCCTCCTCCTCCTCCTCCCTGATTCCTGTGGAAATTCCTCTAAGCAGGAGCACCTTTGCACCTCAGGGCAATGGCGCTATCTGCTTTGTCTATCTGGAATGCTCTTTCTCCAAATATGTGCAAACTCTCTTCCTCATCTCCTTGTAATCTTTATTCAAAGAACCAATTCTCCTCTCCTGATCACCAGATTGAAAACTGTAAGCACTCCCCTCCAAAATATATAAACCTTGTCTTCCTTTTCTACAAAACTCAAGACCATCAGACATTGTCCATTGCGCCAATTTATTTTACTTTCTTATACCATTCATTAGAAGATAAGCCCTTGATGGAAGTATTTTTACATATTCCAGTAACATCGTGATCCCAATACCTAGAGCAGAACCGAGTACAAAGTGAGTGCACAGGGAACATTTGCTGAGTATGAGAAACTCTCCATCCTGAAGCTGCCAAGACAAATTAAAGTAATGATAGAATGACGACATTTATTTTCATTCACTTTGAATCTATACTTGGATGAGTACTAATGTTATTTCTTTAGTATTAACAGGGATTTAAAACCAAAGGATCCAGATGGTCAGATATAATAATGAAAGGCAGGTAGAGATGTGTGTTGAATATGTGCCAATTTGGCAGCAACATCTGAGCAGCTTCATCAATCTGTATTCTTTACAGATTCTTTATGTCATCTTCCTAAATAGTCTATGGATGCTCCTTAGGGGGGAAAACTAAAAAAAGCAGTTCGAAATTTTAAACATGGTTTGGTGTGTGTGTCTCTGAGCTTACAGCCAATTCAATTAAGGGTGTCCCAACTTTTTTTCATGAGTGTTTCCATTGATATGCATTTAAATGATCTCATTCTATTTAAAGGTCACAATCTTCAAAAGTGAATTCTAACACCGCTACATGACAGTGGTAAAGTGCACAATCACTAAATTGGAAATGTTCTGCTGAATCATGAGATGAGGACAATGTATAGATTGAGGACACTATCCACATGCAAAAATGTTTGACATTTTGGACCACATAAAATTTTAGGAGAGGTAATAAATCTTTTACTAATAAGGTAAGAAGAAGATGGGTTAACCAGGAAAGGTATGAAGTTGGAAATACTGAAGCAGCTAATATTTTTTGCTTTGAAGAAGTTTTGGTTTTGCAACATTGTTATATGTAGAGACAGAAAATGTAAAAGAAAAGAAGTTTGCTTCCCTTCAACGCTGTCACAATTTTGAGGAAGATTATATCATCAGTAAAGCTTCAGAAATAAATAGGATGACATCATCTCATAAAAATCATTTTAGAAACAAGAAAATTTATTTTTCATACTTGTCTGTAATAGGCTTTTAATTTTTTAAGTAAGATACCCTGTTTTTAAATGCTTGCTTTCTGAAAGCAATAATTTGCTAATATTATCTGATACAGATATAAAAACTGCAGGTTTGATGTGGGAAGAAGTGAATTTTCTAGTTTTTTTGAACAATAAAGCGGAGTGCAAATTAAGACAATAAAAAACCCATCTAACCATAAACCAATGCTTCCTTTTATTTATTTTATTTTACATACTATGTGCCCAGCTGTGCATTAAATACCCTTTGCATGCTTTTACACTGATTTATTACATTCAGGCAACAACCCTGAATGGTTGATTTTATATGCAGAAAATTAAGGCTTAGAGCCATCAGAGAATAAAATGGAAAAACACTTCTTTGCTTGCTGAGCAAGGGAAAGCTGCAACACTTGAGAAAGTTCAGAAAGTTTCCCTGATAACTGAAAATAGAAGGGACTGAGAAGTAATGGGTTCCTTATTAAGGGGGGTGCCATACATGGCGCATCATCTTGGCCAGGCAGTGACGGATTGGAGCGTTGATGCAGGTAGTCTGACTTCCAACCAGCACACTGCTGACTACGGAAGGCTTAGGATGCGAAAGGAAGAGCAAGTATAAATAACCTTCTTCTAACTACCTTGCCTATAAGTATGTTCATCACATAAATGTCCTCTAACTTTGCAATAAAATGAACTCTTCGTGTCCCATGTGTCTTCATACATGTTGAGGGTTATCTCTCACTGTTGGTCACTCATCCAAGTGAAAGTGAATTACTTCTTTTTCCATAGGCCACCTCTAAGAAAACCTATTAATAAAAGTAGCTGTCCATGCCCAAGATACTGTATTTGTACGTAGTGGTCTGGCAGTTGGCTTCATCTGTGCATTTGAAAACATTGGCTTTGTTCGTTGTGGCAAATTGCTCTTTGAAAATACTTCTTTTGTTTGAAGCTGTTCTTATATTTTCATATAATTCATAACTTTTAGTTATGTGGTCAATCCACCCATAGAATTTACAAAAGTCTGTGGTAATGGTGATTTATTAAAAGTGGAAGAAATGAAGTCTTTTTACTGCCATCACTATCTTCTCTGAAGCACCCTTCTAAGAAGAAACAAGCAAAATTGACTAAACTAAAAGCATCACATGATACAGACAGTCTTAGAACCATTAGTAAACAAAGTGGCGTTTTTGGACTTGTTTTTATACTGGCTTGAGATTATATTAGGGACAAAAACATATATACTATATATATACTAAATTTGCACATGATCTAATCAACAAGTATTTACTTTCTCTAATGGTATCCCTGTATGTCATATTCCATTTTAGATGTATTCAAACTAACATAATAATAAAATTGGTCATTCTCAATGACCTTACCTCAATATTATTACATAAGAAAAATAGACTTTTTCTATCCAAAATAGCAGTTTAAGGAATTACTTTTAGTCTCGTCTGCCAGAGGTTAGAACAAAATTGTGAGCATCAGTCTGCCAAATTTTATTTTTGCCCTAGTTTTGGTTTCATCTCAGTTGCATTAAACTGTGAAAGGAAAAAAAAAAAGCCCTTCAACAGCTTCCTATGAGGCTGATACACCTTCACTCTCTTGATCTGGATCAATGTGGCTTTATTCCAGCCTCTTGTTTGTAGGTCTCCTCATCTTTCCAAATGGCCCACTGGATGGCACCCAGCCCAACTTCACTGCTCCTCTGTGCTATGTGGGTTCCATCTATTTCAAAGCGAACAGTTGCTCAGCTTTGTGCCTGCAGTCCCAGGGGTGTTGGCTAAGCCTAATATAATGCCATTTACTTGCCTTTGCCCTCAATTTCCCAGGCAGGAGTCACGTCTTGGCCCATTGCCCTCTGCTTGTTGAAAGAAAGCCTTCTGTGTAGTCTTGTGAAACTCTCTTATTAACTTGAGAATAGAAAGTGGCTTCCATCACCATGTCCCCAAGTGGATGTGGAGACTCTCAATACAGCAATGGTTGTCTCCAAGAAAAGAAAAAAGTCTACTCTTTTATAGTCCTGCAGTGAATAAGGATGGACAAGGATCTTGAACAAGGTCTCCTTGAAAGTCTGCATAGGAAGTTTTAGAATTTTGCTTTGGAATTTTGTATCTATTGGTCGTGGTGTTAGGATACAACTTTAATGTTGATCACTTTTTCTAATTGTCGAAAACAATAGCCCCCATTAGACACCAGGAAAGGAGATGAGAGACATTCCTTTCTTTCGGAGTGTTCACGAATCTGCATTGGCATGTTCTCTCTAGTGGCCTCACTTAATCATTGCAGGTGCGAATAGTAATCCCGATTCACAGAGGAGGAAACTAAGTCTCAAAGACTACATTTTTAAGGTCATACAGACACCGTGGGAATGTCTGCTGGAAGGCTCCACCTTTTCTTGGTGCACTGCCGCAGATCACACACACCTGTCGTCGCCAGGGTTAGCCGAGGAATGCCCGGTGCAGTCCTCAGAGCGTTACCTTCCCTCTGCAGACTTGGATATAAAAAATAAGCTCATTGCTAGTAATAATAATTTTGAACAAAGCACAGAAGCTTTTAACATTGGCTGAATCTTAAAATACATATACATTTAATTTTTTTCCAGACAATAGATTTTGAAGGCTTTAAGCTGTTCATGAAGACATTCCTAGAAGCGGACCTTCCCGAAGAGTTCGCGGCTCACCTCTTCATGTCCTTCAGCAACAAGTTCCCCCACTCCAGTCCTGCCGTCAAAAGCAAGCCTGCTCTCCTGGCAGGCGGTAAGTCCAGGGGTCTACTTTGAAAATGTATATTTAGTAAAAAAAAAATGCTTTTAAGGGAAAATCCGTATCAAGTTCTGTGTCATAGGAGAGACGATTGGCTTAAAAATGACCTCGGTTGTAGAATTCACAACTTCATGTTAAGATTGTGCAAAATATTTAAAATGTCTCCAAACTGACAATAGCTAAGCAAAAGGGAAAAATACTTTTTTGTTATCCATGACTTGTCATTCAGTGTCATAAAAATCTACGTGCAGGTAATAATTTTAAGAGATACTTTCGTCAAATGTGGAAAAGTTCTCTTTCAAATGATTTAGATATAAATGCAGTCGCAAAACAATTACGCCTAGAAAAAATAATATTTGATATGAATGGTGCAAATTACCAATATACTTTTATATTGTTATATTTGTAATTTCAGAGAAAAGTTGACTTTTCCATTAGCTACTTAATTAAATTTTTGTCACCCTGAAGATGATTAGTTCTTTGATTATGTATAGCTTTTTGGAGCTGTCTAATACATTCATACCATTTGCTAATGATATAATTCTCCACCTAGTCAGGAAATCCAAAACTCTAGAGACTGTGAAGCAGGAAATTGGGTAAACAGTGTTGGGGAGCTGAGCAAGCGAAGAGGAACCTGGGGTGATGCAGGGGAGAGCCCCACACTGCCCCTCGGTGGGAGTAGCAAACCCAGCAGCTGGAAGGCCCTCTCAGAGATGGGGTGCAAAGTTCCGACTTCTGTGGAGAGGATACATCTTTGCTGGCTTTGGAAGCTCAGGGGCTCAGGGAGGGGCCTGCAGCCCTGGGTGTCAGACCCCGTAGGAGCACCAGCGGGGTGTGTGCAGGACCCTGGAGGAGAGCTCGCTGTGCCCCTGGTACGGGAATGAGCGCAGACTGGAGCTCCCCGCCCCTGGAACCACGTGCTGGCGGAGGGGGTGGTGAAGTGCTGCAGAGATCCAGCAGGAAGTGCAGCTGGACCAGCAGGAGGCAGCCCTTCTCTTTCCGGCCTCGTAGTCTATGTCGTGCTGTGCGCCCTGTGAACCCAACTGGTTTCTAGCTGGCAATGGAGAAATGCAGTCTCCTGCAGTGTTGCGCACAGTCTCTGATCTTCGGCCTCTTTGGGGCCCTTAAAAATGATTGAGGACCCCAAAGAACATTCATGTGGGTGATATCTATTGTTATTTACCACTTACAGATGAGACATTAGCCCCGCTGGTGTGGCACAGTGGTTGAATGTTGACCCATGCACCAAGAGGTCCCCAGTTCGATTCCCGGTCAGGGCTCATCCCAGGTTGTGGGCCCGATCCCCAGTGGGGGGCGTGCGGGCGGCGGCCAGTCGACGTTCTCTCTCATGGATATTTCTATCTCTCTCTCTCCCTCTCACTTTCTCTCTCTCTAAAATCAATAAAGAAAAAAAAGAGAGACATTATAAAAAGAGCCAAGAGTAACCCATTACATGCTAACAAAAATTACATATCTATGTGACAAGTGACTTAAGAAATATTGAGAAGAGGGGCACTGTTTTACATTGGTGCGTTGTGTTTCATGTTTGGCTTCTTAGAAGAGAGCCAAATGACTATGTACCTGCTTCTCCGTTGCTGTATCATATATTCTGTCGCCTCTTGGAGACACCACAGTACCTTCATGAAAGAATGAGAGAGAAAACAGCAAATGATGTCTCCGAACCATCATTGAAATTGCTTTATCCAAACACCCCCTGAAAGGTGGCTAGGGATCCCCAAGGGAGTTGCTGGTCCGAGACTTCCAGCCCAGGCACCAAAGAGATGAACAGGAAGTGTGAGTAAAGAGATGAGAAATTTCATAACTGGCACTGAGAAACATAAAAATTTATAAAAACTGTAATTAGGAAATAGATGCTTTAGCCATAAAGTAAACTTGGACAATCTGAAGACGAGTCCACACTATTAAGTCTTACAATGTGCTCCGTCCCCTTCTGTTAACAAAGTAATACATTTTTCCTAAAGCAGTTTTGGTCCAAGCTTTTTGGAAAGAAGTATGCACCTTCCATGTGATACACTATGATCCCTTAAGACTTATATCCCAATCTTCAACTACCCATCAAATATTTTTAGTCCCTCAAATAAGCACCCTCCTATCACGAATGGAGAGGCCTCACACGGGCTGTTTCTCTCCGGATCAGTTCCACTCGGTCTGTCCTTAAAGCCTGGTGTTAGCGCCGACCAGTGTTCGGGGCTGAACACCGTAAAATGGATGGTTGCTTACTCTGCTCTAGAAATTAATACTTCCCACTTCTCCATTTCATGCTTTAAATGGACGTCACGTGCCTTAGACATAGCACACTGCAGGCTTTTCCTAATCTGATTTACATGAAGCAGCACTCTCCTTGGGTTTTGAGAAAGGTGAAGGAGAAACATGTTTGATATGTTTTCTGTCTTAGTAACTGTGTCAGGATAGAGAACATAAATTACTTGGGTCGTGTTGCCAGAAATTAGAATCTCAAACCCTCTTTTCTTCAAAGAGCATGTATAAGTACTACATAGAAGATGCCAAGTTCACAAGGAATAGAAATCAAATCAGGTCTCAAAATGGAAAAAATAAATTAATTAAGGAATTATAGCTTGTGCTTCATTTGGAACAATTACATTTTCTGCATGGTAACCGTCACGCATCAAAAATTATCTCAACAGTGATTTCTTTCAAAGCTCGGCCTCCGCCCTTTGAAATATAAGTGCTTGGTGGTCTCCATGGGACTGTTTCTAACCCTCTCCCCTTTGCAGACTGTGATACTTCTTTTCTGGGGAATAATGAACACAAGACAACAATAAAATTTTCAAGGCCTGGGTATCCTTGACTTGGAAACTGAAAAATAAATATATTTTTACTCCTAGAACCTTGCTTCGCAATAATCTATCTACCCAAGATGTATTTCTGTTTGAAAAAAATCACAAATTATTTTTAAATAGAGAGGTGCTATAATCTACTATGTGTAATTCCCTCTCGGAGTCCACCATATTGTATTGCCACAATGTCATCAGGAATATGATAGCTATTCTTGACTACATATCAGCCGAATAATAAGGGCTTCTCAATATAGAGGAAAATTAAAAAGGAAAACAAAATATTATTCTTGTTAATGAACAATATCAAATATAGGAGATAGGGTAAAAGTAAAAAAAAAAGTTTTATAGAATAAAAATTTTAAATAATTGTATATAGGTGTAAAGATTGTGCGTGCAGTTGTATTTTATTGAACTTTTAACACCTACTGATCTATCTGGCATTTTGTATAGTAGATGATTTATTTATTTATTTTTTTGAACATCCTGGTGCAATGTGATGCTTCTTACCACCTATTTACATGTGAGGTGATTACTTCTGCTGTTCCCACATTGGACTTTCCATTTTTGAGGGTGTCCCTAGCGCACTCTCGTCCCAGCTTTGTCATGGGCTCTTCTTCACTGTAAGTGCCAGGCTCCTGACCCCTCACCTCTTGGCTAGTCCAGTGACCAATTTCTGATCTTAACATCATCCCTAAAGTCTATCACTTGGACTGTTCTCTTTACAGAATTGTTCGAGCATGTGGAACCTTTGTTTTTCCGAAAATGACTCATAAACCCTTGACTGTGAATCAATGACATGATCTCCTATTTCAGTTCTCACAACTTGAACGCTGACAATAACCTGAGAGAAATTTCATAAATTTGCTGATTGCTGCCACTACAAGTTCCTAACACCCAATGTTGATATGGCCTAAACACGTCTTCAGTTTAAAGAAAAAAAAAATCTATTGTAAAATGGATGTATTATTGATATTTTCTGTTAGATCGATTAGGTTAAAGTTTTCAAACCTTTCTCATCATTCTCAGTAGATGACATATTTTTGCACATGAAACCAACAATAGGCACTGTCTAGCATACATGCCTCAGTTATTCCTTACACAGCCCAGAACTGTTTCTTTAGCTCATTATTAGCTATATTCCAGATAGAGGTCTTCATCTCACGTCTCAAAAGTAATCAAACTGGGTGTGTCTGAGAGTCAAAAACTGTATTCTACCCACACTGGCTCCTGTTCCTGTCTTCTCTCTTAGTGAATGGAACCCAATTATTTATCAATTTTACCAGCCTAAAGTCTTGGATTCTTTCTTCCTCCACTGGCTCATGTTTAGTTAATTACAAATGCTTTCTATTGCTTATGCTAACTACTTCTTTTCAAACATCCTGCCAGTGTCAACATGATTCATCATTGTTTGCTTTATAGACGATTGTATGCATGGCTCCCAATGGTCCCTGGCTTCCCATCTCCAAAATGTTCTAACGCAGAAGATTTTATTACTCCTGGCTTCCAAGTTTTAGGTCTTCACTATCACCTCCTGGAATTTTAACTTTCATCTTCCAAGAAAACTTAAATCTTTGATATTTAAAGCCAATGAAAACAGAGTTGCTTTGGTGAAGGGAGACCCAGTAAATGTGTCTTCCCCTCACCTTTTGAGATACCTCCCCTTGAAGTGCCCTCAATGAGACCCCATGGCTTCGGCAATGCCGTTAGTTAAGAAGATGATAAGATCTGAGTTCCACAACATTCAGCCCGATGCCATGCAGCTTATAGAGTCTGCCTACAGTCCCACATTTTCTGTTTGCCCCACGCCCTCCAGACCCTTGCCATGTCCAACCATTTTTATGATATACAAAGGCTCTGCTTACTCAAGATTCTGTACTTTTGTGCACGATATTTCCTTTGCCTGTATCTCACAGCAAAACCTAGGTTTTTCAAGTCTCAGCTAATGCTTCACTGTAATTCAAGTGGCATGTGCTGCAATCCAGGCTAGGAATGCCATGGTCAGCAGGATGGGTTTCCTCAAGGAAGCAACTGGAAGCAACCCGGGAACCCTTGTGTGCCACACCACTGCCTCTTGTAAGACTAGCTGGCGCATCCTTCCCCTCCCCAGCTCTCACCTATGCCACCTTGGAAAGATCTCCAGGAGGTATTAACTACCTTCAGCTAAATATTGTTATT